ACAAACCATAAACCTTTGACCTCATAGTTTTTCCATCTAAATTTTTCCATCAATATAAACAAACATAAAATATAGATCAAGCATATATAGGGAGATTAATTAATTAATTTTGCTTTGGAAAAAATAAGAATAAAAAAATTTCAGTTTAGCCAATATGTGCAAAAGTATTATTATTTTATCCCCCAATTCCCAAATATGGTTCATGATTTTTACTGCACATTTTTATATGCCAACATATTTGAGCAGATAACTAACTCAGGTCATAAAGTTCATAAACTTTTAATAAGTTCATATTGAGCCAGACGGGTTGAAGTCATGTCTGTGTTCAGTCAGTTGACTCTAATGAGAGCTTTAATTGGGCAGATTTATCTGAAGGTTTGAAGAGAGTAGGATATGATTTGCCATTTTTTTATGTAAGTTGTCCTCAAGGCAGGGAGAAACAATAACCAAGACTTAATGAGAAATGAGAAATAAAACTAATAGTCCTAATTATATTTCAGATTATGTTCTGTAAAGTAATATTATAAGAAAGCATTCTGTAGTATAGTACAATACTTACAACTCTCTCACCAAGTTATTTTTGTGATCTCTAGATATTTATCTTTAGATCTTTATTTATTAAATAAGTAAATGAATATGTTATTTGTTCACTTAGCTTCTTAAGGTATTAGTTTTAATTAGATTTGATCTAATATTAGATGTTGGATTATGATCTGAGAAACTTTAATTTTTGTGAGAATAAATAGAATTTAATGCTCTCATCTTTAATAAAAAGCACGAGTGTGTTTTAGCTTGAGAGACTTTAAATGAAAACAGTATGAAGTTAATGTAAACAATGATGTTTCAAGATTTTATTTTATTTATATATTTTTTTTTTTGATGAACATGTTTACAGTCTACACCTTTAACTTAATGTTGAAGTAAACTGTTAGCAGAAATATCCACAAAATAAAAAACAACACTGAAATAAGAGCGTGCGGTTTATCTGTCAATCAAGACAACCAGCGCTCTGATGCTGCTGTAATGTTGCTGAATCACAAAATCTAAATTGTGTAATTATTGTTTGTTAAACATACTAACATTAAAAAACAACAACAACAACCCTATTTATGAATTATGAATATGTTGGCTACCATAAGCTATATATAAAGACTTTAGATGACTCGAAACAGCGGTCAAAGGGCCATCAAAGGGTCTGTTGTTACATCCCCACCAATGTAAAAAAAGCAGACCTACACCCTTGACTCATGGAACCACATTGAGATCCTCAGATCTTTCTAACTGAATGATATATGGTCTTAAAGGGGTCATATGATGCGATTTCAAGTTTTCCTTTCTCTTTGGAGTGTTACAAGCTCTTGGTGCATAAGAAAGATCTGTAAAGTTGCAAAGACTAAAGTCTCAAATCCAAAGAGATATTCTTTATAAAAGTTAAGAGTCAACCACGCCTACCTAAAACGGCTC